AAAAAAAAAAAAAAAAAACTTTTGTGTTGAGAGACAGCAGGCATACTGTCTTCACCTGAATAAGAACGCATGGTCAGTCCAGGTAGAGGGTAATGACCGTGCGTTCTATTCGGGTGAAGATGGTGGCAAGGGACGGGAAACCACCACCCAGGGAACCTCCCACCCGCACCATTCCCCCTTCTCTCCCGCCAAACATCCCCCGTTCTACCCCCAATCATCCCCCCTCCCCCCCCATGGGAGGTGCAGCCCGCAACTTTGTGTGACCCCGCCCCTACTCGGTGATACAGGTGCACAGGGTGAAGATGGACGTAGAAGGGTCAGAAGGCATAGCCATAGGTACACTTTCATGGACGTATCCGGCTGGAAAGATGAACGGATTCCGTGCAAAAAGTCCGGGACTTGCATGGGCAGCCAGCCGGAATGGCAATTGTTTGAGGGACAAGGGAAGGAGAGGGGGGGGGGGGTGGAGGGGAGTGGAGGCCGTAGGGATGGGGCTGAGGAAGGAGGCGGGTTTTCAGGTAGGAGGAAGAGAAAGTAAGGGTGCAGGCATTGGGGGAATCATATCTGCTCCACGGATGACTCCTACGGCTGTGGGGTTGTGCCTTTCCTCCAGAAGTTTCATGGGCCTCTTGAAGTGAAGAGAAGTCCCATACCTGTGCCATTGAAGTCCCATAGCTATGCCATTGAAGTCCTATACGTCAAAGTCCCATCCCTGTGCCATTGAAAGTCCCATCCCTGTGCCATTGAAGGTCCCATACCTGTACCAAGAAAGTCCCATACCCTGTACCATTGGAGTTCCATACCTGCGCCATTCAAGTCCAATACCTGTCCCATTGGAAGTCCCATACCTGTGCCATACTTGTGCCATTCGAGTGCGATACGCGTGCCATCGCAAGTCCCATACCTGTGCCATTGAAAGTCCCATACCTGTGCCATTGAAAGTCCCATACCTGTGCCATAGAAAGTCCCACCCATACCTGTGCCATTCAAGTCCCATACCTGTGTACCTGGTTCCTACGAGAGCGTTTGGGTGCTGCATTTTCTCCCAGATGCACAGCCGCCATAGCTTCTCTGCTTCTCTGCCTTTGTAGCGAAAGGAGCTCATCCAGTTCTGTCCTGTGTGTGCCCTTTGCATCACTACCCCTTTTGTTTTCTGTCTGCTGCTGGAGGTACTTTCTCTTTTTAAGTATCCAGATAAACCGCTTTTATATTTCCTCTGTAGAATACTCCATTTCAATGGATGCCTTTCTTTTCTCCAACACCCCCTTATTAAGCCTCCCCCTTTGCTTGCCATCTCTTAGCAGGTTCTTCTTTACCCATCTATCATTCTGCAGTTGAGATATTCAGTCCAGAAAGTTTTTTGTAGCCCTCTCATGGTGGCAGGTCCATGCTGTGAGGTATTGGGCCTGCCCTGCATTTGTTTTGCCAAAAGTGAGCTTCTCTCTCCAACAGAGTTCCACAATAACCCCCAGATATAAAAGAAAGGAGAGCGTATGAATCTTCACTATTTCCATTCTGTCTTCTAACGCGTTTCAAAAACTGAAACTGAAAACAATGACTAATGTGTAGTAATGTTCTTTGCATTCAATTGGCAAAATTGGAAAATGCCTTGGCAGGTCCCTCGTCTCCTTGTGTTGTGCAAGAAACCCCAGCAAAACTTGCCTTATCATGTAACTGTCATCACACCTCCACCTCGCTCTCTTGGAGTCCATGCATTTCCTCCTGTAAGTATCAAGTCCGCAGACCGAGTATTATCTCCTGGTGTGTGTGTGTGTGTGTGTGTGTGTGTGTGTGTGTGTGTGTGTGTGTGTGTGTGTGTGTGTGTGTGTGTGTGAAATCGTCGCCAGAACAACCCCTTTTCCACCCAGATGAGGGGATCTAAAATTGAAAGAGCTTTATGTCCTTAGCAAACAACGTGAAACACACTAAGATGAGCGGATCCAAAATTGAAACAGCTTTTGTGTGTGTGTGTGTGTGTGTGTGTGTGTGTGTGTGTGTGTGTGAGAGAGAGAGAGTTCTGT